TACTTCGACTACTACTACTGCTGCTGGTACTCCAAGTAGTACTGTTGGAACAATAACTACTGCTACTGGTAGTATTATTACTACTAACGTTACTACTGAGCTGTAAACAGAACTATAAATAACTTACTCCTTATTGGTACTACTAAAATAACTCTGAATAATACTGTTGGTACTACTGGTTGAACTACAACTATTACTGCTACTAGTACTGCTAGTATTACAGCTACTAACGTTACTACCAATACTAGTACAATAACTACTAATGTTACTATTACCACTACAGTTACTACTGCAGAAGGTACTCTCTGCGTGTACTCTCAGGGCTGCTCATTGACCTCAGGACTTGTAGATGAAGAGCCAGTAATCCGGGTCGGTGTGATCAGGAGGACGAGGCCTCTTACTTACGTACTAAAACTATCAAGTAACTGCTACTATAGTTACTAGTTAGTACTGCCAGTACTACTATAACTGATACTACTCTCAGACTCCTGCAACAACTACTACCATTACTACCATTACTACTGGTACTACCGCTGACCGGCAGTACTGCTGGCAGGTACTGATGGTACTAGCTGGTACTACCTGATGGTACTAGCTGGTACTACCTGATGGTACTACCTGATACTAGCTGGTACTACCTGATGGTACTAGCTGGTACTACCTGATACTAGCTGGTACTACCTGATGGTACTAGCTGGTACTACCTGATGGTACTACCTGGTACTACCTGATGGTACTACCTGATGGTACTACCTGGTACTACCTGATACTAGCTGGTACTACCTGATGGTACTAGCTGATACTAGCTGGTACTACCTGATGGTACTAGCTGATACTAGCTGGTAGTACTACCTGGTACTAGCTGGTACTACCTGATGGTACTAGCTGGTACTACCTGATGGTACTAGCTGGTACTACCTGATGGTACTAGCTGGTACTACCTGATGGTACTACCTGATACTAGCTGGTACTACCTGATACTAGCTGGTACTACCTGATGGTACTAGCTGGTACTACCTGATACTAGCTGGTACTACCTGATGGTACTACCTGATACTAGCTGGTACTACCTGATACTAGCTGGTACTACCTGATGGTACTAGCTGGTACTACCTGGCTGTTTGCGATCTGCTGAGTCAGCTGATCAGAGCGCTTGTTTATTGATGACCTTTCAGATCTGTATCTGAACCAATCAGTGCCGTACCTGGAGGAGCCACCTGACCCGCTGCAGTTCTACCGCGACTGGATTGGTCCTAACAAGCCCTGCGTCATCCGCAATGCCTTCAACCATTGGCCGGCTCTGTCCAGGTGGACTCCAGAGTACCTGAGGTGAGGAAGCCCCGCCCACCCTCACCCGCACTCTTCTTCTTCTTCTGTAGTCCGTGACGCTCAGGGCGCTTCCTGTCTGCAGGGAGAAGGTGGGGTCAAAGGTCATCAGCGTGGCAGTGACCCCCAACGGCTACGCCGACGCCGTGAGCGGCGATCGCTTCGTGATGCCGGAGGAGCGACGGATGACTTTTTCTTCTGTGCTCGACGTCATCGAGGGGAAGGTGAGAGGAACCAGACTACAGAGTACTACAGAGTACTACAGAGTATTACAGAGTACTACTGCTTACTGTGTACATACAGTACTCAGTACACATGAGCCTGATACAGGACCAGAGTGTTTAGATCCTGACATCATTGATCACATGATTGATCAGAGCAGGACCAGAACAGCCTCAAATCTACCTGTCCTCTGAGTATCTACCTGTCCTCTGAGTCTCTATCCGTCCTCTGAGTCTCTACCTGTCCTCTGAGTCTCTACCTCACCTGTCTCTACCTGTCCTCTGAGTCTCTACCTGTCCTCTGTGTCTCTACCTCACCTGTCTCTACCTGTCCTCTGAGTATCTACCTGTCCTCTGAGTCTCTACCTGTCCTGAGTCTCTATCTGTCCTCTGAGTCTCTACCTCACCTGTCTCTACCTGTCCTGTCTCTTCCCGTCCTCTGAGTCTCTACCTGTCCTCTGTGTCTCTACCTCACCTGTCTCTACCCGTCCTCTGAGTCTCTATCCGTCCTCTGAGTCTCTACCTGTCCTGTCTCTACCCGTCCTCTGTCCCCCCCAGGTGCAGCAGCGTGGGGTCCTCTACGTCCAGAAGCAGTGCTCTAACCTGCTCGATGAGCTTCCCGAGCTGACGGACGACGTGGAGCCTCACGTCTCCTGGATGAGCGCCGCACTCGGTGAGTTCACGTGAGCTTTTCTTTGGTACAGGCCCACTGACCTCAGCGTGACACGTTTCATTATCTACTGACCTTTTCTCCACCTGGTGCTCGTCTTCGTCCTTCACGTGAAGCTACTTGTTCTGCATGTCGACCAGCTCGCCGTTGTTCTCGAATAAAGGTTAAAAAACAAAGTTCGTCTCTTCAGCTGCAGCTCAAACCGAACGTGGTTTTATTGCAGCAGACAGAGAAGCACTTTGCTGAAACGACGACACACATAAAAGACACGTGACAGAAAGAGGGGACGCCTCGTCTTTACTGAGAACCTCTTTATTTCTAAACAGATTAGTGGACATTAGCAGAGAAAAGGAATAAACAAGCTAAATGCGTTAGTTCATCTACAGAAGTGGCATCGCTGATGTCACGTGACTCGTCGCTCTCAGAGGATCTGGTCTCTCCGGCGGTCCAGCTCCTCAGACAGGGCCCTCAGGCTCCTCCCCATCCTCTTGGGGGTCCTGACTCTCTGCTGGTAGCTGAACTTGTTGAAGCCCTGGTGTCTTCTTCCCGGTTTGAAGTCGAACAGCTCGTCCTTCTTAAACTCCTCCACGAACTTGGACACGTCCGCCGTCCTCCCGCGGGACGAGGACGTGAGGCGCGACAGGTACGCGGACAGGTTCAGAGGGTTTCCCCCAGTGAAGAAGATCCGGTCCAGGTCTTTGGCCTGAGCGCCGGCCAGCTGGGCGCTCTGCTCCACCTGCTGCTTCGTGAAGCTGCCTTTACCGAACTCGATCCCACCTGCGGACAGGAAGCCTTCGTTAGACACGAGGGGATTCATGGACATTCTCAGGACTAAATCTGCTTCACTCAAGACCAGAACTCTCTGATTCAGACTCCTGAGGGACATAATCTCCTAAATATAACGTTATGCCAAGGACCCGTCTGCTGAATCATATACTGGACCCACGGCGAGTACTTTGAGTACTTTGAGTACTGTGAGTACTTTGAGTACTGTGGTTTTCCTACTTTTCCATCAGTGAAGGATCTGAATCCTCCTTCCACCTGATTGGCTGAGCAGACGTGCAGGTGTGTGAATCACCTTTGGACTCGCTGATCAGCAGCTCTGTGAGCAGGTCCGGGCTGATGTTCCCTCCAGATGTTCCCTGAAGGTTCAACACTCGGTTCCACTTCAGGTCCTGCCTGACGCGCTCCGGGTAGAACCCCTCCATCCCTGTTCACACACGGTAACCATGACAACAGCCATTAGCTCCTCCCCACGTGAATGACACGCTTGTTGGCGCCGTACCTGTGATCATGTGGTGGCTGCTGTTGAAGAGCTGCAGGTGTTCTCTGTTCCACAGCAGAACCAGGTCCATCCTCCAGAAGTCCGCCATGGCGTCTCCGTCCCCCTCCTGGATGGCGTCCCGCCTGGCCATGTGGTACAGCCCCTCCCACACCACCGCCCTCGTGTAGTTAAACAGGAAGTCCTCGCCGTCCTCCGCCATGGAGCAGGACTCTGAGCAGAACCACGGAGCTGGAACATAAAACCACCAAAAACCATCAGTCTGGTCCTTCGGAACAGAACCAGACCGTTAACGCTGCGTACTTGTACTGCATTACTCTACATCTACATTTAGTTGTACAGCTAACTCAGCGCCTTAGCGTTTCGCTCGCTCTCGTGTGCGGCTGAGCGTCTCACTCTGCTCGGCGCCGCTCCGCTGGGCCGCGGTCAGACAGTCTCGGTGGTACCACTCGTGTCTCCTGCACTCGTCCGTCCGGCCGCACTGGACCATCTGCCCCCCCCTCCGCTCCTTACAGTGACAGAACACGTAGGTCCCGTCTGCGCTGCAACCCGGACCGCAGAACCAGTCCTCATGCGGGTCAGAGAGGGTCTGAGCTCGAGCACAGCTCTCATGGAACCAGATCCCTGGACACAGATTACTGCAGCACCGAACCAGCTGCTCACCTGCTTTCTCTGAGAGGAGACACACGGAGACAGACGGAGTTAAAGACAGACGGAGACAGGCGGAGTTAAAGACAGGAGGAGTTAAAGACAGACGGAGACAGGCGGAGTTAAAGACAGACGGAGACAGGAGGAGTTAAAGACAGACGGAGTTAAAGACACATGGAGACAGACGGAGTTAAAGACAGGAGGAGTTAAAGACAGGAGGAGTTAAAGACAGGCGGAGTTAAAGACAGACGGAGACAGACGGAGTTAAAGACAGACGGAGACAGGCGGAGTTAAAGACAGGTGGAGTTAAAGACAGACGGAGACAGGCGGAGTTAAAGACAGACGGAGACAGGCGGAGTTAAAGACAGGTGGAGTTAAAGACAGACGGAGACAGGCGGAGTTAAAGACAGACGGAGACAGGAGGAGTTAAAGACAGACGGCGTTAAAGACAGATGGAGACAGACGGCATTAGAGACAGACGGCGTTAAAGACAGACGGAGACAGACGGAGTCAAAGACAGACGGAGTTAAAGACAGACGGAGATGAGTTAAAGACAGACTGAGACGGGCGGAGTTAAAGACAGACGGAGACAGACGGAGTTAAAGACGGACGGAGTTAAAGACAGACGGAGACGGGCGGAGTTAAAGACAGACGGAGTTAAAGACACATGGAGACAGACGGAGTTAAAGACAGGAGGAGTTAAAGACAGACGGAGACGAGTTAGACAGACAGAGACAGACGGAGTTGGAGAAAGACGGAGACGAGTTAGACAGACAGAGACAGACTGAGTTAAAGACAGACGGAGACAGGCGGAGTTAAAGACAGGAGGAGTTAAAGACAGACGGAGACGAGTTAAAGACAGACGGAGTTAAAGACAGACGGAGACAGACGGAGTTAAAGACAGGAGGAGACAGACGGAGTTAAAGACAGGAGGAGTTAAAGACAGACGGAGACAGACGGAGTTAAAGACAGGAGGAGACAGACGGAGTTAAAGACAGGAGGAGTTAAAGACAGATGGAGACAGACGGAGTTAAAGACAGGAGGAGTTAAAGACAGACGGAGTTAAAGACAGACGGAGACAGACGTTGTTAAAGACAGACGGAGACAGACGGAGACGGGCGGAGTTAAAGACAGACGGAGTTAAAGACAGATGGAGACAGACGGAGTTAAAGACAGACGGAGAGAGGAGGAGTTAAAGACAGACGGAGTTAAAGACAGACGGAGTTAAAGACAGATGGAGACAGACGGAGTTAAAGACAGACGGAGACGAGTTAAAGACAGACGGAGTTAAAGACAGACGGAGTTAAAGACAGTCACGTGAACCCTCGCCTGTCCGGCCTTTTACCTTCTTTACAGTAACAGAAGGGGGATATTTTCTTCTCTCCGTCGCAGCGACCTTTAGCGGCGGCGGCGGCGGCGTTGATGTCCTCCTGAGATGGAGGCATCCACACCAGATCCAGCAGTCTGTGAGCCAGCCCGCTTAGCCAGTCCATCTGAGCGGAGACCTGAGAGGGGTAATCTGAGGGTCTCTGGTCCACAGAGTCCAGACCGCAGTCCGTCACAGCGAACAGAGTCACGTACGCCGTCGTCACAAACTGTCAAATATAAACACGTACTTCAGGAAGCAGAATGTCACGGCGAAACGGAAAAATGTCAGCATGAATTTTTAGCTTCACGTTGGTCGTGAAGGACCGCTGGACTTCTGCCCTAATCCGGTTTACTGCAGCCGGAAGAACCCGAAATAAACATTTAGCTGTGATTTAGTTTCAATAAACGGATACTGAACTAACGACGTCACGAACATGTGACTTCCTGCTCTGTCAGGTCTGCCAGATGACAAGCACACAGCTTTTAAAATGCTTCTTTTCTGAATGGAGTTTGGTTTGAACGTGTTTCACAGTAAAACAGACTCATATTTCCTGATCTTACAGCTAGTTTAACTTCCTCTTCCTTTTCTCTGAACATTTCACGTGAATTTTCTCACTCGCGTCTTTGCGTTGAGTTTGTACGTAATCGCGCCGTGCGAAACCCTCACTTCGTGTTCTGCGTTCCCCCTCAGGACAGTCTGACAAGTAGCTGTTAGACCAGTTTTAATTTCATCAATGTAAATTTTAGTTGAGCTGAAACTTTTTGACCGACGACGACACGAGAGGGTTCTTCCTGTGGGAACATGAATATGTACAGAACGGGATCATGAGCGACACGCAGGCTCGGTAGGTCACCTGACTTCAGGAGTTTTACCGTAATGAAGTCCCAGATGTTGAGGAAGTAGTCTTTGGCGGTGCTGTTGAACGTCTTGAAGTGAAACAGGGAGGTGATGTGATGAAGGGTTCCTCGAGCGTTCTCACTTTTCTCGCTGAGAAGCATCTTCATCATGTCCTGAAAACACATCATCACTGGATCAAAGTGTTTTCAGCTGGAGCAGCTGATGAACTTCCTGTAATCATTTTCACAAACATCAAACAAATAGTCGCTGGCGTGCTCCTCACCTCGTGGAACAGGTGTTCCTTCTGAAATCCTGCGGTGCTTCTACGAGTCCATCAAACTTCAGGTCGGGCTTCGGGTCGGGATCTTCGCGGCGCTCGGTCCCGTCCGGGCTGAGGACGTCCCCGCAGTACAGGATGTGGTACGGCTTCCCGGAGACCACGGGGATGTAGTCTGTCAGGCCGTAGGCGGCGCCGACAGACTCCTCCGTGGAGTTTGGGATCGCTGCACCCAGACTCACCTGAGGGGGGACAACAGCTCCGCTGTTCACACCTTCCTGGTATTCATGGGACTCTTCAGACGGGCCGGACTCACCGTGGTGCTCGGCGCCTTCATCAGCTCGGAGTAGACGTGAGGAATGTGTCTCGCCACTCGTCCTCTGGGGCCCTTCAGGGCCGTCAGGCTGTCGGCGATGATTCGCATCACTAAGGTTTTCATTCGCCGCCGCAGCGACTCGTACGTCTGAGGAGGAAGAGGAGGAGGAGCAGGAGGAGGAGGAGGAGGGGAAGAGGAGGAGGAGGGGCAGCAGGAGGAGCGGGAAGAGGAGGAGGAAGAGGAGGAGGAGGAGGAGGAGCAGCAGGAGGAAGAGGAGGAGGAGGGGAAGAGGAGCAGGAGGAGGAGGAGGAGGAAGAGGAGGAGGAAGAGGAGGGGAAGAGGAGGAGGGGAAGAGGAGGAAGAGGAAGAGGAAGAGGAGCAGGAGGAAGAGGAGGGGAAGAGGAGGAGGAGGAGGAAGAGGAGGAGGAGGAGGAAGAGGAAGAAGAGGAGGAAGAGGAAGAGGAGGAAGAGGAGCAGGAGGAAGAGGAGGGGAAGAGGAGGAGGAGGAGGAGGAGGAAGATGAGGAGGAAGAGGAGCAGCAGGAGGAGGAAGAGGAGCAGCAGGAGGAGGAAGAGGAGGAGGAGGAGGAGGAGCAGGAAGAGGAGGGGAAGAGGAGGAGGAGGGGAGGAGGAGGAGCAGGAAGAGGAAGAGGAGGGGAGGAGGAGGAGCAGGAAGAGGAGGAGGAAGAGGAGGAGGAGGAGCAGGAAGAGGAGGAGGAAGAGGAGGAGGAGGGGAAGAGGAGGAGGAAGAGGAGCAGGAAGAGGAGGAGGAGGAGCAGGAAGAGGAGGAGGAAGGGAAGAGGAGGAGGAAGAGGAGCAGCAGGAGGAGGAGCAGCAGGAGGAGGAGGAGCAGCAGGAGGAGGAAGAGGAGCAGCAGGAGGAGGAAGAGGAGGCTCTTTGGGTCGTTTCACATGAAACTGAGTTTTCTGATCCGTCACTATGACTTTAATATTTATTTGCCTAAATTCTGTATTGATGATCAGTGACATCATCAGCGTATTGTTTCCGGCCGCCATGAGACGCCTGGTCTGGCGTCTGCAGAAGTTCTCTGGATGTATAAAAGCTGTAAAACCCGCGGGGTCATTAATACAGATATTAACAGTGAAGCTCGCAGACGTCAGACGTTAACTAGCTGCGTGTCAGTCAGCTCTGTCCTGTACGCACACCGGACATCCGGATATTTAAACTACACGCGGTGGCGTCCAGGAGGAGCTGATGTTCCTGCGTGCTGTTTCATACTCACTTCTACAGATCATGAACCGTCCCTGTTAGAAAACAGCTCTCCGATTGGCTCCTTTTAAAGTGCGCGCACCTGTTTGGACGGCAGGATGCTGGACGGAGACACGTCCGCTGCTTTCGCCGGAGGTCCGTGCAGGTTACGGAAGTTAATCCGAACTCGATGAGCGAAGCGAAACGCCCACGTCGCGAAGCCGTAGCCTCGTTCCGCCGAGTCGGACCGGGACAAAGACGGCACCTGCGGCACAGAGACGTTCTGTCTTCATTCAGAGACAACAGCTTCTGTGAAGAGGTGTTCAGCCACAGGCGTTCTTACCCGAACGTTCCCCCAGGTGAAGGTGTAAGCCGCCGCCTTCCCGGAGTCGACGCTGCAGTACTGCGTCTTTCTCGTCATCTGAAAGAGAAGAAGAATTTCCTCTCTGAGGCGAGACGGCGCGGGCAGACGCAGGGTTTATCACGATGCACCGACATGTCTTCCTTCAGCGAAGATCCACATCAAGTCAAATAACAACAGAGAACAACAACCTGAGAAAATCTGCAGACCGGCTAAAGTCGTAGTGATCGTCTATTCGCCAAAAGTATTTGCTTCTCGCAGCTTCCATTCTTCAGAGGCTGTAACAGAGAGCGCCGCCTGCCCTCATACTCTGATGTGTTCATGCCCAGAGAGACTTGGATCTTTGGCTTAGCTGAATATTTTTGCATTTAAAACCCCGGTTAAATATTTAGTTTGTGCAATTAATTTCTTCTCAACCTCTGTCATCTAAGAAGAAAATAAACACTGACATGTTGTGACGCACAAAGAGGCTTTGGTTCATTTATCATCCACACCTGAAATATGGAACATTTTATTCCCAGGAACATGGCGAAATCGTTTTTCCTGCCTGTCGACAGATATCCAGGCTCCCTCAGCAAAATCATTTGAGTCTAATGTGTCAACAAAATAAAAGCATCATTTTGAACCTGACTTAGTTCAGAGTTCAGCTCTTAAAATAGATGCAAATTTGCGCATATTTAATGAGATACTGCCTCATTTGCTTATTTAAACATAAGATTTCAGAAAACGTGTAATGCAAATAAATATGGTCTTATTGAGAGTAATTAAGGTTTCATGGAGATATCTGTTACCTTACTCACCGGCAGGTTGAAAACAAATTTACTCGATCAAGTCAGACACCAAGACCGGTCTGACTGGCTGACCTTCTGTCAGGTGTTCTGAAGTAGATCTAACTATAAAAATCAGCAGCTCGACCCGTTCTGAAACAAAAACACATCAACAAACCACGAATGCTGAGACACGAAGAAGGAGGACTTGGCTCCTCACCTGGATCTCGTCCCTCCACTGCTTCACCTGCCTGCCGTGCTCCTCGGCGAGCTTCTTGGCGTGGACCCTGGCGGTGGTTTTGGACTGCGAGATGCCGAGGCCGTTCATGATGCCGAAGACTTTGACGGGGCAGCGGTGTCGCAGCATCTCCACGCTGAAGGCCGTCTGGAGGAAGCAGGCCCTGAGGGTGCTGGTGTACAGCGGCACCGAGAGCAGGAGGCCGATCCTCCGGTCCAGCATCTGCTTCGCCTCCTCGTCCGACATCCGCCTGGAACAGCACAGATTTAGGATCCCGAAGGAACCGAGAGAGCCTTGTAGGAACCTAAAGAACGCCACACAGAACCCACCGGGGTTTGTTCCCTGGGCTGTAGTTCACGATCTGTTTCTGGATCTTCTTGGCGGGGGGGAACATGGACCTGAGACAGGCCACAGTCAGGGGGGCCTTCTCCTCGGCCCAGGAAGTAGTCTTATCCCAGCTGAACGCGGACAGGTTCTCAGGGCTGAAGGTCTTCCTGAACGGACCGTCCAGATCGTTCACCATCTCTTTACGCTGCAGAAACATTTGTTACTGCATCAATATATAGTCATTACTGCATCAAGTACTGCATCAATATATAGTCATTACTGCATCAAGTACTGCATCAATATATAGTCATTACTGCATCAATATATAGTCATTACTACATCAATATATAGTCTTTACTGCATCAATATATAGTCATTACTGCATCAATATATAGTCATTACTGCATCAATATATAGTCATACTACATCAATATATAGTCATTACTGCATCAATATATAGTCTTTACTGCGTCATATATAGTCTTTACTACATCAATATATAGTCTTTACTGCATCAATATATAGTCTTTACTACATCATATATAGTCTTTACTGCATCAATATAGTCATTACTGCATCAATATATAGTCATTACTGCATCAATATATAGTCATTACTACATCAATATAGTCTTTACTGCATCAATATATAGTCTTTACTACATCAATATATAGTCTTTACTGCATCAATATATAGTCTTTACTGCATCAATATATAGTCATTACTGCATCAAGTACTGCATCAATATATAGTCATTACTACATCAATATATAGTCATTACTGCATCAAGTACTGCATCAATATATAGTCATTACTGCATCAAGTACTGCATCAATATAGTCATTACTGCATCAATATAGTCATTACTACATCAATATATAGTCTTTACTACATCAATATATAGTCATTACTGCATCAAGTACTGCATCAAATATAGTCATTACTGCATCAAGTACTGCATCAATATATAGTCATTACTGCATCAAGTACTGCATCAATATATAGTCATTACTGCATCAATATAGTCATTACTACATCAATATATAGTCTTTACTACATCAATATATAGTCTTTACTACATCAATATATAGTCTTTACTGCATCAATATATAGTCTTTACTACATCAATATATAGTCTTTACTGCATCAATATATAGTCTTTACTGCATCAATATATAGTCATTACTGCATCAATATATAGTCATTACTACATCAATATATAGTCTTTACTGCATCAATATATAGTCTTTACTGCATCAATATATAGTCTTTACTGCATCAATATATAGTCATTACTGCATCAAGTACTGCATCAATATATAGTCATTACTACATCAATATATAGTCATTACTGCATCAAGTACTGCATCAATATATAGTCATTACTGCATCAAGTACTGCATCAATATATAGTCATTACTGCATCAATATATAGTCATTACTACATCAATATATAGTCTTTACTACATCAATATATAGTCTTTACTACATCAATATATAGTCATTACTGCATCAATATATAGTCTTTACTACATCAATATATAGTCATTACTGCATCAATATATAGTCATTACTACATCAATATATAGTCTTTACTACATCAATATATAGTCATTACTGCATCAATATATAGTCATTACTGCATCAAGTACTGCATCAATATATAGTCATTACTACATCAATATATAGTCATTACTACATCAATATATAGTCATTACTACATCAATATATAGTCTTTACTACATCAATATATAGTCATTACTGCATCAATATATAGTCATTACTGCATCAAGTACTGCATCAATATATAGTCTTTACTGCATCAATATATAGTCTTTACTGCATCAATATATAGTCATTACTGCATCAAGTACTGCATCAATATATAGTCATTACTACATCAATATAGTCATTACTGCATCAAGTACTGCATCAATATATAGTCATTACTGCATCAAGTACTGCATCAATATATAGTCATTACTGCATCAATATATAGTCATTACTACATCAATATATAGTCTTTACTACATCAATATATAGTCTTTACTGCATCAATATAGTCTTTACTGCGTCAATATATAGTCATTACTGCGTCAATATATAGTCTTTACTGCGTCAATATATAGTTATTACTGCGTCAATATATAGTCATTACTACATCAATATATAGTCTTTACTGCGTCAATATATAGTCTTTACTGCGTCAATATATAGTCATTACTACATCAATATATAGTCATTACTGCGTCAATATATAGTTATTACTGCATCAATATAGTCATTACTGCATCAATATATAGTCATTACTACATCAATATATAGTCATTACTACATCAATATATAGTCATTACTGCATCAATATATAGTCATTACTGCATCAAGTACTGCATCAATATATAGTCATTACTGCATCAAGTACTGCATCAATATATAGTCATTACTACATCAATATATAGTCATTACTGCATCAAGTACTGCATCAATATATAGTCATTACTGCATCAAGTACTGCATCAATATATAGTCATTACTGCATCAAGTACTGCATCAATATATAGTCATTACTACATCAATATATAGTCATTACTGCATCAAGTACTGCATCAATATATAGTCATTACTGCATCAAGTACTGCATCAATATATAGTCATTACTGCATCAATATATAGTCATTACTACATCAATATATAGTCTTTACTGCATCAATATATAGTCATTACTACATCAATATATAGTCTTTACTGCGTCAATATATAGTTATTACTGCATCAATATATAGTCATTACTACATCAATATATAGTCATTACTGCGTCAATATATAGTCATTACTACATCAATATATAGTCATTACTGCGTCAATATATAGTCTTTACTGCGTCAATATATAGTCATTACTACGTCAATATATAGTCATTACTGCGTCAATATATAGTCATTACTGCGTCAATATATAGTCATTACTACATCAATATATAGTCATTACTGCATCAATATATAGTCATTACTGCATCAATATATAGTCATTACTGCATCAATATATAGTCATTACTGCGTCAATATATAGTCTTTACTGCGTCAATATATAGTTATTACTGCATCAATATATAGTCATTACTACATCAATATATAGTCATTACTACATCAATATATAGTCTTTACTGCGTCAATATATAGTCATTACTACATCAATATATAGTCATTACTGCGTCAATATATAGTCTTTACTGCGTCAATATATAGTCTTTACTGCGTCAATATATAGTCTTTACTGCATCAATATATAGTCTTTACTGCATCAATATATAGTTATTACTGCGTCAATATATAGTCTTTACTGCGTCAATATATAGTTATTACTGCGTCAATATATAGTCATTACTGCATCAATATATAGTTATTACTGCGTCAATATATAGTCTTTACTGCGTCAATATATAGTTATTACTGCGTCAATATATAGTCATTACTGCATCAATATATAGTTATTACTGCGTCAATATATAGTCATTACTGCATCAATATATAGTCTTTACTGCATCAATATATAGTTATTACTACATCAATATATAGTCATTACTGCGTCAATATATAGTCATTACTGCATCAATATATAGTCATTACTACATCAATATATAGTCATTACTGCATCAATATATAGTCATTACTACATCAATATATAGTCATTACTGCGTCAATATATAGTCATTACTGCGTCAATATATAGTTATTACTACATTATTATACACGTTTGAATATCAGCTATTTCCTGAACAACTTTAATCATCCTCTTGTTCTCTGTCTTCAGATTTGCGACTCTGGCCCTACAGGATTATTTTCATTATTTATTAATCTGAAAGTTATTTTCTTGATGTTTGGTCCATTAAAATATCAGTAAACCGTGAAAACTGCTCTTCACGTGTTAATGTTCAGTTCACTCTGTTATTTCTGTGTTTCTGGCTCCTTTTTTTCCCTTTTCGCACAAAACTCTATTTACAGAATTTTTACAGTCTTTAAATGGAGACGATAATCAGAAAATAAGCAGTTCAACCTCAACAACTTGCAGCAGCTAAAATTCTGCTTTCACATGAATGCAGAAGGGATTAATAATAATCTAATGTGCAATATATATTATTCACGGGCCGGTTTTCAGCATCGAGTACTTTTAATACCTTTTTATACATTTTCCTGATTATATTTTTTCTTAAGTAGCATTTTCAATGCAGTACTTTTACTAGTAAAGTGGGGGGGACACAGGGGCTCAGATCAGGGGAGTGAAGACAGGACAGAGTGTTTTAAAGACATCCTCAGTGCTGAGATACAGGCGGGAAAATTTCATCTTTAAACACTTCATTTTCTGCATTCTGCCAAATGTTTCTGCACCAATTTAATATCATCCCTTTAATTAATTAATGACTGGACTCTTTTCTAGCTGATTGTTTCTGTGTTTCAGCTTCTTTCACACGTTGCATTTCAGCAGTTTTCTAATTGTGATCCTTCTGAGCGGGTTTTGGTTCTGGATCAGCCGCTCTCGTGTATCTGGTCTCACCTCGGTGGAGATGAGTTTCCCACACAGCCGGATCAGAGCCTCCTTGAAGCCGGACACCTGCAGCAGTCTGTTCAGCGCGCAGGTGAAGTTCTTCCTCCGCAGGTACCCGCACACCTGAGAGATCGGCCCGCGGCGGACCCGCCGACCCTGCGGGGGTTCGGTCCGCGCGGAGGGCGCCGGGTCCCGGGACGCGTAGTCATGTTCGTTCAGCGCAGTTCGGAGTCTCCTCTTGAGCTTTTTGGGAGGAGGTGGGTCCCCCCGGGGCAGAGGGGGCGGGCCGGGCCGGAGGGGCCGGGCGGGTCGGGGGATGAGGGTCCACATAAACCCGCTTCTTCCCACATTTCTTCGTGTTCTGATAAACGTGTCGGACGCAGGAGAAACAGAAAAACGCCTCCTGCGGGTTCAGGTCCGGGAAGAGTCTGTGCGCGCTCCTCAGGTCGGTGATGGATAACAGGGACTTCCGCTTGTAGCCTTTAGCTTGTCTCTGGATCGGAGCGGCGCAGCGGCTGCAGCGGTGCTGCATGTCTCCGCTAGCTGCTTCACCGAGAGACCAGCTCCGGACATTAACGTCCAGAATCTTCCTCTGCGAGCAAAGCGACACCAAAACAAACCCGCCGGGTTAAAGTCCACCTCTTCGGGGACGCTTCAGGCGGTTTCAGGTGGACGTGGACTTGTTGGAAAGTATTTAAAGTCAACTTAAAGAGGAGGAGCGCGGCTGAAATCTGCTCTGAGACGAGCCTGCAGGATCCAAGATGGCGCCTCATTAGAGCCGTGAGCTCGGTGCTGCCGCCAGCGGCCCGGAGGGGAACAACAACAACAACAACAACAACAACAACAACAACAACAACAACTGTTGTAAATAATACAGCGTAAAATAAAGATGCATTTTTTGTCACTAGTGAAGCATGTGGTGGTCTGAGAACACTGAGCTCACGTCGTCTGGGTTCTTACCTGTAACCAACCGGAAGGGAGTGAAAAAATAATTCCAGTATTTTAGCATTTAGAGTAAATATTTATATATTCATAAAAATATTTATGAATAAAATGTTTATGTCAAAAGTCTGTAACATGTCTGCACAACACAAACCCGGAGTAATACACACACGGAAACATCTGCACATTGTTCTATATTACTTCTGTTTATTCCATATTTATTTCTTTATGTCAGCTGTATGTTTATGTCTACGTGTAACAACCTGATCACCAAAACAAATTCCTCGTACGTGTGAAAGCTCTTTGTGATGCACATCTTTCTTCTCCCTTCAGGGAAGTTACCAGATGCTGTGAATTTTGGCTCGGAGAGGCGAGCGCCGTCACGTCCAGTAAGACCTGAACACAACACGCCCGGCTGTGTGTTTAACGTAAACACATAACGTGAATAAATACTGTGTGTGTTTCTGCGTCAGTGCACAAAGACCACTATGAGAACCTGTACTGTGTGATTTCTGGAGAGAAGAACTTCGTCCTGCTGCCTCCCACAGACCGCCCCTTCATCCCCTACGGTAACCATAGCAACCCATCCACCGCTAACAGCTCCGTGTAATCCCCTGCTAACCATAGTAACCGTCTCCGTGTGTCAGGTGCGTATCAGCCTGCTGTCTACCGTCAGCGGGACGACGGCGAGTTTGAGGTCGTCGATCAAAGCGACTCTGAGAAGGTGCGTTCAGGTGTCTGTTAATGTCAACGCTCCCTGCTCTATTTAAAACACATTTCACCCTAACCCTCCTCCCGCCTCCCCCCCACAGGTCCCGTGGATCCCTCTGGACCCTCTGGACCCGGACCTTGACCGGTACCCGCAGTACCGGAGAGCGCGGCCGCTCCGCTGCAGCGTGAAGGCCGGAGAGATGCTGTACCTGCCGTCCCTGTGGTTCCACCACGTCCAGCAGTCCCACGGCTGCATCGCAGGTACAGACACCTGAACGCACCACAGGACAGGTTTTTACCTCGTCCACACTCGCTTCCTGTTTTGGAGCCGGTGTTACACTGTATTTGGTGACCCGTCAGGTTCTGTGACCTGCAGGAAGAAGTACTCGGATCCGAAGTACTCAGTTTAAATACCAACCACAGATGGTATAAGCGAGGTGGGCGTAGCCGCAGTGACGTCACCGGCTGGTTTGTGGACTACTGTTTTTGTTTTTAGAAAACCAGACGTGACCATATTTGGACTTTGAGGGCGGCGCTAGCTAGCTTGATTAGCAAGGTGCATCTGTAATTCATGTTAACTGCTAGAGAGAACGCAGGTACAACTTGGTACAAGCGTGTAAAATGACTTAATTACAAGTAAAATCCTGCATTTAAAATCCTATGAACTAAAAGTATAAAATTATTACCAACTAAAATGACTTAAAGTACTAATTTTTGCAGAGAATCAGGCTGATTTATTTAATACATTTAACAAGTAATATTTTCAGTACTGATGAGTCATTGTGTGAGCATGATTTTAATAACAGTCCCAGGCTGATTTTACTTTAGTACTTGAGCTGGTAATACTTCTATAACTTAAAGGAGACCAATTATTCTGATTTTCCAGCCCTATATTGTAGCTCTGTGACTCCTGTATGGCAGCTTTGCATGATTCAAAAAAGTTATTTCTGTCTCATACTGACTCTTCACGTAGGCCTTCATTTCAGCCTGTGTCTGAAACGAGCTGTAGATGCTCCTGTCTCTTTAAGCCCCCCCCCTCAAAGCCCACTGTCTTCTGATTGGCCGAGACCTGAAGCATGTTGTCGCTGGGTGGAACGGGCAGACTGAGCGTTGCCGTGGGAGCACATGACCATATACGGACCAGCGAGGTTTTTGCTCACAGGGATTTCTGATAAATACTTTGACCTCATTATTTGAACCTTTGGCCATGTTGAACATGAACATCCATCATTATAACATAATGAAAAGCATAACAGGTCTTTAACATGTAATGTAAATTAATGTTATGTAAATACTTTTACTTAAAGGAGTCCAACACTGCAGGTCACAGAATCTGATGGTTTAACACGTCACAATATGAAAAAACCCACATTATATAAACACTATAAAGACCTCCTGCCCCCCCACCAGTCCACATTTTAAAAAACTACGTCCAAGGATCTCGGATGCGGATCTGAAACTAATGGCGTCAGTTATTCGGCGGTCGTGTTTGTGTCTCTGCTGCAGTGAACTTCTGGTACGACATGGAGTACGACATCAAGTACAACTACTTCCAGCTGCTGGAGACGCTGTCCGAGGTCTCGGGGTCGACGTGACATCACAGCAGCTGCATGATGTCACGGTGACATCACGACTGGGTTTGGGTAAATAAAGTGAAATAATGAAAATGACACGAAGCTGCTGTGAAATAAATAAAGTTGTAACCTCTGCAGAGACTGAAGTCTGTTTGATTTAAACATCTGAAGATGATGCGAGGCGACATCTGTGAGGAGACACTCGACCCGCAGAGGACGTGCCGTCGAGTTCAGGTGTGAAGAAGCAAAATCCAGAAACAAATGTTAAAACTTTGACAGATAAACGTGCTCAGATGTGAAACACACGTCGAATCATTCAGCGTGACTTCACGATCTGACGTCCAGAGCAAACATCTAGAATCCAGAGACGCTGCAGAACCTCCTGAGAATGTTTTTTACTTCAGTCTGTACATCCATGCTGTGCCAACAATGCTAACAGGTGACTCGGCCAGTTTGACTAATTGGAAACACATATTGGCTATAAAACATTGTAGCCCACAGCTAACTCACTTACTGAACACATGGCTCCACGTCCTGTTTTCCCAAAGCATTATGGGAGCTGTAGTTCCAAACCTAAGAGCGTGATTATCCCCCAAACAAGAGTTAGAAAATCCATTAAAGGTTTAGTGTGTAACATTTCTGAGGATCTAGTGACAGAAACAATATAAGATCCACACCTGTGATTTCAGAGGTGGACAAAGACCTGACATAATGTTTTTATTACCTTAGTATGAAGTAAATGTACCAGCCGGACCCCGAGCCTCAGAAGCAGTCGCTTGCAAAGGAGGGCTGAGCGGTGACTGAGAAGCTGCTTGTAGTTCACAGCACTCACCACTAGATGTCACTGAAACCTTCCTGTTACACTTTGTTCCTGTTGTTTTTTACTTTGACATGATTCCAACTAAGGCTGAACAATTCATCCAAATCACAATATGCACTGCTGCATTTTCAAAAGTGTGTGTAAACATATCATTTTAAATAAAATACTGTGGTGCTGCAAAGATCACAGCATAATCATTTAAATGTCGCACCGAGATGTTTTCTAAACTCAAACTCTGTAACATGAACAGAAAAACCTGTCGCTGACGCAACAGACGAGCCAAACAGGAACCAATGAGAAAGCACTTTATTAAAGCAAAACATCTTTTCAACAGAGAAACCGCCGGCAGACAGAAAAACAACAAACCCTTAAAAAAACAAACTAAAATCTCTGAAGGTCAAAGGTCGTTTCTTTCTTTTTTATAGTCAGTCACTTTCTAATATTGCATCGTCTCCGAGACTCAAGGCCACGTTTCCTCCTCGCCACAGGTGATTATCACTCCGCTGATCGAAGAAACACGAGGTCACGACCAGAAGAAGGATCCTCGTTCAAACTCATAAACTCTTTATGATTTATGTACAAATGTAAACACAAACAAGGTGCAGATAAAAGCTACTGCAGATTCATTTCTGCTCATCAAGATGGCGCCCACTGAAGCTCCGCCTCCTCACAGGTGAACACAGAACAGATCGTCACGATCACCTTTAGCCCAACGGTTTATATTTAAATTAAACAGATAAAAGCTGCAGATTCTGATTTTTCTGCTGGTTTTTAAACGCATCATGCTGAACATCAAACGACAAGCTTGTTTAAAGGACACCTGATCTCGTGGTGCATCATGGGAGCACCGGTGAACGCAGGTGTCCAGCTGACGATCGTCAAACTAACCTCAGCCCGTTTGTGTCCGCGCGGAAACACAAAGACGGTTTGTTTGCTGCCACTTTGCGGCGCTTCCTAATTCATGCGAGGAAATCACGCCGCCGCCAGAGAGGAGAGACAGGAAGTCATCAGTGTAGATGACGAGGAGGCCGAGTGAACAAAGCCGTCAGTTTGTGAGCTTTATATTGTTTTCGAAAAGTCTCGTCATTTATTCGGCTTCTCTGCGTCGACAACCGAGGGTTAACTGAGCCGCCGCCAGTAAAGGGCGGGAAACTTCCCCGTTTAGCGTTAATGTTGATCTGAGCCGTTTATATTTGTTCCACAGAACCTTTCATGGTTAGTTTTTATTTTTACAGACACGAGAAAACACGTTTCAGTTAATCCGCTGATGTCAGACTCGCTGCAGACGGAGGAGAAGAGTCCTGGCAGAGACACTTCCTGCCTCCAGCTAACGCTAACGAGCAGCCGCCAACGCGAGGCCGCCAACGAGCAGCCGCTAACGCGAGGCCGCTAACGAGATAAACGACTGACAGCGTGAGAACAACTTGTTGAACGGCTGTGAGGAAGCGGGCGGAGCAGCAGGGGCGCCACCTGCTGAGCGACAGCGTGAAGCAACGCGGCTCCAGAACAAACTGTTTGTTGTCGTTTACTTTTAAATTTCCTCAAACTGAGCTGAACCCAGTCAGGTAGCTCTGAGCTGCTGTTGCATCATGGGAGCAGTCTCTAACACAGGCTCAGTCGTCGGCGCGGCCCCGCCTGTAGATCGGCACGTTGATGCTGTGGAATGCCGGCACCCAGCGGTTGTCATGGAGACCCACGTTGCAGCCGGGCGCGTCCCTGTGGGCGCCGTGGCAGCACATCCAGTACCCGGGGCCGTAGGGCAGCGCCTGGCAGTACGGCTTGTGGTGCCAGCGGCACAGCGACACGTCGCCGCGGCC